TTTAAACAGAGTTTTAAACTATAGAGTTTGTCTTTATTTTTGTTTTCCTTTTTTATTAAAAAAAGTGAGACACAGTTTTTAAAGGGCAATGCTTTATCATAAATTCACATATATGTAAAGAAAAGCACATAAAGACAAATTTGCATTTATGAAAATGATCATTTGAATTTTCTCCTTTATTTTGTTAACATGGTGTATTACATTGATTGATTTTTAAATATTAAATCAATCTTGCATTTCTGGGATAACTTCCACATTGTTATTATGTAATATTCTTTTACGTGCTATTGATTTAATTTGTTGATATTTCATTGAGAATCTGGTACCTATGTTCATGAGAAATATTGGTCTGCAATTTTCCTTTCTTTTCTTTTCTTTTTCTTTTTTTTTTTTTTTTGGTAATATCTTTGACAGGTTTTGGCATCAGGGCTATGTTGGCTCTTAAGGCAAGTTGGGACACATTTTCTCCTCCTCTATTTTCTGAAAGAATTTGCATAAGATTGGCATCGCTCCCTTAAATATTTGCTAGAAGTTACCACTGAATCCATCTGTACCTCGAGTTTTCTTAGGGACAAAAACCAGTTTTGATATCACACTTTATTCTGTCTCAATTACCCAAGAGAATATACAATAAACACTTTCTCCTAGTATCCCACTTAGGACCTTTGAACCACTATTATTCAACAGACAGAGATAGTAACTGTGCACCATAACTGATGAATTACCAAGACCAAAAATTCAACTGATTTTCATAGGAAAAATGTTCAATCTCTTAATTTGGATGAAAGATAGCCTAATCGTGCCAGAGAAGTAGAAGCCCTATTAGGTAATCCATACCCCTGTCCAGCAAATCAAGGCTTGTACAACAATGCTCTCAATGTTTTCCAGATCACACTCAGGATAATTTGTCTTTTCTGTCCCTGGCAGTCATGACTACTGCCCATGCTCCTATTTTCCAGCAAAAATAAAACATCACTGAACCTGCCAAGGCACTGAAACTAGTTCAAGGAAATAAAAACTGTCAAGAGCAGGCAGATTTGGATTATTACAGATGTCCAAAATTTTTGTTTTTAATCTCCAATTCCCAAATCCAGGTGAAATTTTCAAGATTCTATTTCACTCATGTGCATAGTTAATTTATGGAGATGACTGCACAAACACACCAAACACACACTTTTGATTTGTCATTTTGTAGTTTTCCATTCTCTATTAAAAGTCTTTACCAAAAAAATATATATATATGTTTCACCTAAAGAACGATGAAAATGTCTTAGTTTGAATTTATTAAAAGCCATTCACATATGTTCCTGTCAAAAGTTAAGACATGGCTGTAAAGGAATAAGGTAAAGGAATATGGCTGAATCATAATGAATGAACTAAAACATACTCATTTCCCCTGTTGGCTGCATGTTTATTCCAGTGAGTTTCCATTTTCCGTTTATGTAAGGGATGCTTCTCTTAGAACTGCCTTCCACAGCTACATCTGTCCTCCTGACAGTCGGTGGAGTGATGAGGATCACTGGGAACAGGTGAGCCAGGAATGGCTGTGCTGGGTATTCTCCATTCGCCCCTCCAGATCACCCTCCATGCTTCTCTACTCTGCTCTGTGTCCCAGGAGATTGATCTGTATGGGCTGAAGGAAGGGGGCTCGCTGGCTCTCCAGTTTTCCATCAAGAATGGACAAAAGGAAGCACCATCAGAATTTTGAAGGTAAACAGGAGAGTGAGCTCAGAGGTGTGGCTGCCTTCCTCCTCTGTAGTCCGCAGGTGCAGTGGGAAAACTCTCACCTACATCTGACTCAACATGCCAATAGCATCTCCCTCCTTTTATCCTATACAAACCTAGGAAAAGTAAAGGCTCCCCCATCCCTTGTTGGTTTCCCATTATCCTTTGCACATCTTTTATAAATAGACCTTTGTTAAAAAGTCCTCAATTAAATACACACACACACACATGCACACACATTATGTAAGTGAGCAATATATTTCTTGCTTGAACCCTGACTGGTAAAGAAGTCAAGTCTGCATGTGGGTGATTATGCTGGGTAACATGTCTTCTCATACAAAAGATAGTTCGTCGACACAATCTTAGAAATAATTTTTGACATTGCCCATTCCTTACTCGCAAATTCTTTCCAAAAGAAAAGTTCCAACATTGTTTAGTGCAGGGGCATGCTCATCCAAGCATCTCATCTCCAAAGGTGACTACTTTAATGGAAGCATTATTCAGTTAGCGATTAAAGTTCTGGATGCTTATTGTTTTTAATGTCTCATGACATTAGCATTGCATTTTATGACATCTATTTATCACTTCCCACAAGAAAATAGGTACCTTGGAAATTTTGAGTGGATAATCAAATTTTTTAACTACCCAGGCCCCAGTAGGAAAAACAAGAAATGTCTGTTATACTAAAAAGGAGAGAAAGAAAGAGATTGATTTGAGGAGAGATTTGGCTTCATGGGATACAGGGAAATAAATAAGATTGCTTCCAAAATCATATTTCATTAAGTAGACACATGTAAAATTAGTTTCATGTTGTGAGGAACAAGTTGCCTATGATTTTAGTCATAAAATATGCTAATGCTTGAAGAATCATTTATTTCCTTAGACTCCCCAAGAATCAGCTTTCTTTTTTAGAATATTGACATTTAAGAAAATCTTGAAACCTGATCTGGCTCATTCTCTACTTAGAGTCAGTAAATTTCATAAAGCTGGTATTAAGCTATCCTCTTTCTTTTATCTGCACATAGTGTACTATATTGAACCATTATTTGCTTAAAAATACATGATGAACATTTTGAATCTTCTCGGTGTTTTTAATTTAGATTTGCCCAATCATAGAAATTAAAGATGGAAAAATAAGATTCTTCCTCTTACTATGAACTGTAGTCCTCAGTCCAGACTTGATTCTCCTTTTCTGATTAATTAAGCTAAAAGAAGGGAAAATAAGTCTTCTCGGCAATTGCTTCCATTATCTCAGGATTTCTGGACTAGCATTATCTTTTTAACGAAATGTCATTACTCCACTGATTTACCCCTAACAAATCATGTCTCTTGCTCTTGGCATTACACTTCAAACTTATTGGTCAAAAGAGGCTGTGTCTCTATCAGCTGCAGTTTATTGGAACAAAAGACGTCATTGCAATTAACTATATCAAGATTGGCTTAGAAAAGACAGAGATGTGGAACTCCCCAGTCCACTCTGTTTGAGACCATAGAAACAAGGAAATTCAACCTGACTTTTAGTCATATTTAATTTATATGATAGAATTATTAGTACAAATATGATTTTCAATAACTTAATGTTTCTAGTTCTTTTTGTTTGCTTGCTTTTACCCAAAAGACAAAATGGATTTTTAAATCTAATATTATTTTGGAGATCCCCTTAATTTTGCTTTCCTCTCTTACCTACAGCTCCATATTAAACTCAGGGAGCTAAGAGTAAGAGAGATGGTGTAAATCATATAGTTGCTAACCACATTTGACACATGAGTAAACTAAACCCAAAGGCTGATTCATCATTATCCCTTCCAAACTTTCGTCTAATATTTACTAATAAGATATAATAGACTGTGCTTTTGAGAACAACATTTGAAAAATATATAATCTGTCTCCCAGGAGTTAGGCCAAATATTTTTTAAACAATTCAGAATTCTACTAAAATGTCTCATTTGTTTCAAATCAGAGTTATTTCAAAACCACACTCATTGATGAGGCTTCCCCAGTCCAATGTAAATAAACTGAGAACAATGCAAGGCTGATTTGGCCCTTATCATATGCCATGTTAGCTAGCTATATTTTCATATATTTCTCTTTTCCTCCTAACCAAATTTTAAACTCTTTATTCTTTCTTTCTCCCAATATACCTTGCTCCTGGCTTTCCATGTAATCAGCTAGACTGCTTGAAGAAAGTTATTGGCAACCTATAATCCACAGCTCTTTATTCCAGTTCATTAAATGGTGATGCCAGCATTGGTTTTGGGGGAAAAAATGCATTTAATTTGCTTTAGAAATACACAGAGGAATGAGGTGATTGATCTTAGCAGAAAGAAGCCAACACATGCCGGATGAAAATGTAACAGCGCTTAAAAGCAAACATGTGATTTGAACATGGAAGAACTCTAGTGAACCCCAACTATCCTCCTTGAGTGGTCAGAATTGTCTTGTTGAGTGTTCAGCCTAAGACTAGCATTTAGGATCAATCAGTACAACAAAGAAGGTAAAATCCTTTCACTTCAACTTAACCTATAAACTCACAAGCTGAGAATGTTTTCTCATTTTGGCTAGAAAAACTACATAAGGATGGTTTTGAAGGAATAAATTTATTATTAATTATAAATGCCTCATATATAGGTCCTGTGACATTTATTTTTCTGCTTCTTTGTTTAAATAAACAGTGGAGTCTCCATAAGAATTTTAATTTGTCTAAAATATTAATTAGTTAGACCTAAAAATGTTTCCCTCTTTATTACTTTCTGACATCCCTTGGAAAGAATTTTTAACCAATAGGAAAAAATTAAAGTTTATATTGGAGAACATTTTCTCAAGTCCATTTGGCTAGGTCAGTAGGTTTGGAATTTGGCAGTGCTTGTAATTTTTAATTTCACTGCACTTTGAAATTTTGCTGACTGAATAGAACTATCTAAAGGAATCAGAGAATGATTGATTATAGGAATTTTTCAAATATTCCCTAAAATATGGAGAAAAAGACATCAGAGAGTAATAGTAAGTTGAAAGATAAGGGAACCATTCAGCAGATTAAACAGAATTTTAGAAAGACAGGTACTGACAAAATAGTATGAAAAGAGAGACCCAAAGAGAATTATTTTATTCCTTATGGTTATAACTGTTACTTCTTTCTTATAGAACAAAGTTAATATTTAGATGGACTAAGGGATATTTTAGTAATAAAAGTATAAATCAGGATTAAAAGTGTAAGATGAAAAGTTTGAATGATTTACAGAAATTTTTCCATGCCCTGACTACAAATGAATACAATTTTTTGCATTACCTGAAATATGAGACCATTTTCTCTCTCAATAGACATCTTCATTTCCAAGGTGGGCTTCTCAGGGGGTTCATGAACCTCATAATTTTTCACAAACTGAGAATGTCTAAGCACAATGTGACATCCTGGAGAAAGAAGATCAACCATATAGAAGTGTCAAGGGTCACATCAACATGGACTAAATCACTGTTCTAACATGTAGAATATTTTGGTAAGAAAAGATTTTGGGAGAATGATTGATTTGAATCTGAATTTCCCTGTAGACATCTTTGGAGCAAGTGCCGTTTGGCTCTGGGGAATGAGCTTCCTGTTACAAATCAAGTCTGGTCAGAAGAGTGAGCCTTCCGATAAGCATGGGATACCTACAATGTCAGAGACCACAGCAAGTGGCCAAGGAACCTACAGGTTCTCTTCAACCCCCTTCAATCACAAGCTCAAACACAAAAGTAAAGGATAAATACCATTTCCAAGGAATTTTTCTATAGGCATATTTACATGAGAAAGAAGCCTTATAGGGTAGAGAACACAAAGTAAGAATTTGCCATTGTTAAGAACTAGCCTTCACATAGCTTAAAGATTCATTCCAATTTAGCTCAACAGATCTTTTTTTCAGCCTCTACTATGTGACAAGCTTTACAGCACAATTTGAGGCTCAGAGAAGGAAGGAAATCAACAACAAAAGAGCAAGAGGAAGGGCAGTTTGCACCAGGAAATGGAGATAAAGTCAGACAAAATACAACCTGCACGGTTTGAGTCTTCCAATGGAAGATCATTGGTAGGGGTACAATGTCGTGGTCTTGAATAATTAGCTCAGAAATGCCTAATCTACCCTTTGGTTGGGACCCCTGGGCCCAGACTCCAACAATAGTCCCCTGGTGCCCACTAAGCATGGTTGTCCTCTCAAGGGAGTTAATGAGACCAAGAACAGCTTTCTCATAGCTGTGTCTGGAAACTTCATAGAGAAAAACAGGGATAATTTAAATGTGTAATAGGAAAAAGGAGGCATGAAATCAGCAATACTCTCTCAAAAGTAATTGTAACTCTGAACTATGGAAAGGGTATTTGACAATGTAACTCATGAAATGTATTAGTCAAATTAATTCAATGTGGCTCAGATATGAGTGTAGCCACATGAATGAAAATAACTAATAAGCAGGAAGAGGAAGAAAGAGGGATGTCTACTGCAAATTTGAAATAATAGCTACTAGGGTGCCAAAAAGTCTTAAGATTTGTTGGATTTTCTTTATGTCATAGGAATTACATACCCTGACTCTGTAGTATTGCCTACTGAGTATTTCTTCATGGATGTGCCTCAAGCATCTAAAACACATGTCCAAAACCAGATCCATTATTTTAAAATTCCAAAATAGAGTGATATAATTTATGTTTGCTCAAAGGTCTCTGGAAGCTCAAAGGTAGGAGAACTGACTACAGTGTAGGTGTCAAGGAAGGCTTCACAGAAGAGGCAAACCTTGAGCCACGTGTTGAATAGTGAGCAGGAGCTCACAAGGCAAATGGGTGCAGGAACAGGATTGCAGGCAGAGTAGAGCACACAGAAAGGCAAGCAGGCAGGAAGGGCATGGGGTGTTTTAAGAATTTCAAAGAATGTAGCTGGTATATGGGTGGTGATAGAAGATGCAACAGGAGAGGAAGCAGGAGTCATATTATAAAAGGCCTTTATTAAATTGAAATTGTATCCAGCAGTCAATGGAAAGTTACTGAAAGATATAAAGAAGGAGAGTTATATGGTCATATTTGTGTTCCTAAGAGATCCTTCTGGGAGCACTGTGGAGAGTGGCTCAGAGGCATGCAAGACTGACAGCCACACTCAATAAGAACTGGAATAGAGCCATGTAACTGACACTTGAGAGGCATAGGCATATGGGAGCAAGAGCACAAAGGCCGACCCTGTGGAACTTCACAAGATAGCAGAAGCTGGGAGTAAAGGATAAGGAGCAATTAAGAATGATGCTCAAAATTCAAGCTTGTGTGAGTGGTTGGCAATGGCCCAAGGTGCCAAGGCCTCCAGCAGAAGAGAAGAAGGAGCAGGGTTTGGAATGGGGCTGGAGGCAATGAGAACTCTTTGGGACATATTGAGGTCCCAGTGGGTCTTTCTGGTAGAAACGTCAGGGAGGAAACTGGAGAGGGAGATCTGGAGAGCAGAAGAAAGGTCTTACCAGAGATAAGGATTTGGGAGTCATGGGCCTGGCTAGGGTCAGGCATGAGACTGACAAGCACTCCTAAGTGAGACTCAAGTAAGAAGAGGGCTGAGAACAGAACTCTGGGGGCAAAAGCAGGTATGAAGCAGTCTCCTTGGGACAAGTTTGTATACAGACCCACCTCTTCACCCATAACAAACTGGCATAATCGGAAGGAGAAGAGTGTGGATAGTGGTTCCAAAAGAGGATTCCCACTCTGTGAAGTTCTGGGATTAGGAAGATGGAGCCTGGCTCTACTGTACGGGGTCTTTCAGCAACATAACTATTAGAAACTAGATGCACTTAGAAGAATGACTTTTAGGAAGCCTGTGTAAAGGCTCCCAGCATAACTGCACCACCAATGTAGGGTTGAAAGTGCTCCACATGGAACCAGAAGTGAAACCTAAAAATTAATGGATGAAATTATAATGTGTGGTGATGTGTGCAAGCTTGTGTGTACAGTCGATCCTCATTATTCACAAAGTCTGTATGTGCAAATTCACCAACTAAAAATGTATTTGTAACACCCAAAATCAACACTCGCAGCATTTTTGGTCACTCATAGGTAGGCATGGAGTGGCCAAAAAACTGAGTCCCTGACGTGCACGTTCCCAGCTGAGGTGGGACAAGCCAACGCTCTGCCTTCTTCTTTCAGCTCTCAGGCTATAAACACATCTCGTCTTCACAGTCTACGCAATGCCAAGCTTTTCACATGTCTGTGCTTGTTGGTGACTTCGCTGTGTAAAACAGCCCCTAGGCACAGTGCTGAAGTGCTGTCTGGTGTTCCTAAGCACAAGAAGGCTGTGCTGTGATGTGCTTTACAGAGAAAATGCATGTGCTAGATAAGGCTCATTCTGGCATGAGTTACAGTGATGTTGGCCATGAGTTAAATGTTAACGAATCAACAACATATATTAAATAAGGTGTCTTTAAGCAGAGACACATATAAGCAAGGTTATGTATTGTTTGCTTAATGAAAATGTTGTGACCAGAGGCTCACGGGAACCTAACTGTTTCCTCTAGGAGCAATGATATTTATGGCAACCTTACAGAACATAACTACTACAAATAACAAGAATTGACAGTATAGGTATAAGGCTGGAATAAGCCAAGAACTCCTAATTTACTCAAAATGGTTTGTTATAAGCACAGAAATTTAGAGGATGGGCAGGGTGTTGAGGTTTTGTTTGGGTTTCTCAGGCCAGAACCAAAAAACAACAATGAAATAATTTGAACTGCCTGATCATTCATTGCAGTCGCATGAACTGAAGATGGAAAAGTCCATCATAGAGTCCTGGGTCCCAGCTCGCTTTATACTTGCTCTATGACCTTGGACAAGCATTTCCCCTCTCTGAATCCTCATGCCTCACCTGTGAAATGAGGCAATGACACCATATGAACTCTCAGATACCTGTCAGCTCTGCCAGTTCATGAGTCTGCAACCAGTCCCAACGCAAGAGATAGTTTGTCATGAATTATGGCTGCAGGACTCTATAAGGCTTAGGAAGAAGTATTTACTGGAAGTGCATTTCCTGCATTTTCCAGAGCAGCGTGAGGACAGAATCATTAGATTCTTGATTTAAGGATTCTGGAACGTTTATTTAGTTTTAACTTCAATGACAGAAATGAACCCAAAGGAAAACTGTAAAACTGACAGAGTAAAATAACCTCCATTATTTCAAACTTAATGTAATTAAAAATAGAAACAGCATAAAGAGAAGAGTGTCTACTTGTGATTATTTAAAGCAAATGGCTTGAGCAATCGAAGCTGGACCCAAATGATGTGCACGCCAGGCTGCTCTGAGTCCCCTGATTCTCTTTTAGGTTTTCCCAGAAGACCTCAGTATATCTCACCAACAATTGCGTGCTCCATTAAGCACTTGGCAAAGAACTGGATGGACATGTGTAACCCAGACGTTTCTGTGGAAGGTTAGTCCTCCCAGATGGAGTCTTCATCTTAAGAATGTGTGCAGGATTAAGATGTAATCCATTGCTTCAAAGAACACAATGATGCACAAAATAAAATGCTCAACTTAATTTTCCTCCAGAAGAATTGTTTAACTGTAGAGGATGCATTAATAAACAGAATCCTCTATTTAATGAAATGTCACCTCCCTTTCATCTACATTGTCAGAGGGTAACTCTAAGAAGTAATGGGAAAGTTTGAAAAGATTAAACACACACACACACACACACACACACACACACACGCATCACCTTGCTTTATCATTTTTTTTAACCAATGAGAAAATTTCCATAGCTACATGCAGGCCCATAGCTAACATCAGTGGTGGTCCTGCCACCTTCCCTTTTCCCATCTGCATCCTACTTGGAGGGGGCCTTGTATGCTTGTATCACCAGCACATAGTGATAGCAGCCAACACTCAAAACGGCAAACCTACAGACCTCACAGGCTCTGATCATGGACTTGGAGACCCTGGGCCAGGGAATCTGAAGTTCTGGGTGCTCAGAATATGGTCTGGAAGCAGACACGGGCTCTGGTTGAGCATCTCCCTTGGTTCCTCAAGCTCTTCACCCTGTGGGGTGGGACATGGTTAACCTGGCATATGTGCACCTCTCTCAAGATGCCATTTTATTCTCTCTCCACATATGATAACGCACATGCCTTTGCATCAATTTCCTAAGCAGCCTTCCAACCCTAAATGTCTCATCACATCAAAAGTGGCCCCTCTTGGAGGATCTGAAGCACAGAAATGTGTTGCAATGTCTGTGATATAGCTGTGATAAGCTCATGAAAACACACTGGAATGAACTTCTGGGGTTAAAATTAAAGTTTCTCTTATATAGAAGCAGCTGAAGTCCTAAAATAAAGAAAATCAACATTTCACTGAGAAACAACACGTTCATGAAATACAGAAAAGCATAATCACTGCTCTGTCTCCGTTTAATAAACTTCCCCAGAAGCA